TAAATGAATCTGGATGGACGTATTAATACAAAGAAAACGAGCATAAGCGGCGTGACCAAGCAGATATCGCATTTTTGAGCCCACGCCGTGGTGTGAGTGGTGTGGGACGTACTGTAATGCGTTATATTGAACTTGACGCCTAACCGCTACAGTATGCGGTGCGACTCGTCCTCTGCCGCGCCTGCGTCTCTGACTTCGTCGCGCGACGGGCCTCTGGGGGTACCCTAGGGCGATACAAGCGTTAGCGTGCCTACATACTTGAAGCATAACTGCAGTGAAATGCTATTGTCTCATTTTGTCTAATTTGAACCGTCATTTTCCTTATAGCCGACATATGTATTAGCAATTTCAAGGGTATACTTCGGGATGAATATAAGCCAACCCTCTTGTGGCTATGATTGAGCTGTTCCACTAACGCCGCAGATGTTCCGTTTTCCCTGCTTGAAAATTGGCTACAAGGGCGCCAGGGCCTTGCCATCAACCCTCCAATCGCCTGCATTTTTTTCGTCTCAACACGCGTCGTCCACGCCTACTCAGTCGTTGTACTCTCTCACTTTTCCTCTCTTCTCCATGCTCACTGTCTCATCACTCAGCACATCCGAGTTACAAAAATGGGAAATCCTTAGTTTCAGCGTCTTTACAGATTCTTCTTTTCTTCATTATCGGTCCACTTCGCACCTCTGCTAGGATTTTCGTGTGCAAGAGTCACACCAGTTTGTTTGACCGTGAACTGTACCTTTAAGTCCGATATCGATATCTAGATCGTCCACGGCGTGCAATTAGAGCAAGTTTTTTATTTGGCTGAAGTAGGAGTCGCTATATTGAAACATGTTACAGTAAACACGTTGCTGATTCACGTTTTCCACATGAAAAGTACCGCTTTTCATAGCAGGAATAGATTATAGATTTTGCTGATACATATTTCATGGTACTAGAATCTGTTTATGAAAAAAGTCATTGAGCCCTATTATTTACAAAAAGTGGATTGAATTCCATTGATGTTATTGTGGAACCGTCCCTCTATAAGAGGCGTCACTGTTTATTCCACAGCGCTGTGACAATCGAGTGCGGCTCGACGGTAAAGTGTAGATGATGGCTTGTGGTTACGTCGTTGAGTGCTATGCTCACGGTGAGCTCAATCTGTTAATCAGTGTCACAGTTCGGCGCCCTGAAACTGATTTGAAATGATTCCGCGCTTTCCAATTCTTGTGCCAAACACAACACATTGCGCTAAGTTTACGACACAGCCTTCTAAGTTGCGTGTTGTTTAAGGGCAGAATTACGTTGAAAGGCAACGCTCCTCTAGGTTAGACGTGGTCAGGGGTACAGGGATGAAGAAAAACCATGAGAACCAGGCTCGAACACAAGAAGTGTAACCCTTTCCTTGCCGGGCGGCGTGACCTTCCCCACTGGTTGCGAACTCTCAAAGCGGTGCTGCCCTCTCTGCTGAACGGCTAGAGTTAGAAGGCTGGAGTGTGGGAGTGACCCAGCGCGAAGAGGGTGGACATGGCCTTGCTAGGTGACTACGTATATCAGCGCCCGCCTCCTTTTGCCAACCTTTGTTCCCTATCTTCCCTCCCTACAACCTTATCTTGGAGTCCTCCTTCAATCTCCAATATCCTTAATACTAATAATAATAATAACTTTGGTCGGGAAGAATCCACAAGTAATCAATAGATGGCGGCATCTTATCGAAGAAAACCCTCTACCCTTGATGGACCGCCTTTCACTCCTTCAGCAACGCATTCTCTTGATTGACTCCAACGTTTCTCAAAGGTGAAACATAGAATGATAGCGAACCTTTGTAGACGACCAGTGGTAGCGAGGATTCCATTCGAGCCAGTGACCGCGGTAGTGTTCACTCGTACAGCATCTCGTTTGAAAAATTTGCTAAATATTTTGTATGAAATTTTCAGAAAGTGATTTCTTTTCAGCCGCCATCACACGTGATGAAGAGTGTACCATCTGTCCCCGAATGATTAGTAAGCAATGAGTCTGAAATTATATGCCTTCGAAATTATTATAGGTTGTCCCATAATTAGTGAATCACTTTGGGTATTTTTGAATTCAAATTTTTTTCTTTTTTATGTGGAGTCTTTGCTCATCCAAACATACACCCTGTCATCTACAATGTATTGCCTATACAAGGAAATTTAGTCGCTGTCTTATCTCTAGAATTCCAGGAGCTATTGATCGAAGAAAGATCGGAAGTCGAGTTTGAGGTCATGTCACTTAGCGTAAAATTTCTTCCTGGGGAAGAGCGCTAGAGGTCAAACTGAGTTGCCTCTTGTTGGCACGAGGATAGGGCCACACAGAGGAAGTGGAAGATCGGCTAGCTTGAGAGTCTCTAATTTTTTATGAATATTCTCCGCAAGGTGGGTCGAACGACCTCAGGAAAAAAGCAGACTTTGTCTTGCTTTACTTTCAAATTGAATGCGCCGCCATTACGCTGTAGATGTTGATCTTCTTCAGTGACTCTAGTATTACTAGGCGGCGGTTCCCAGCGCATGGTCACTCTCGTGCTCCACCAATATCTCTGAAGGGTCGGACTAGAATGAGGTTTGGCTTTTGCTATCAGAACTCCCGAATCGTTCACGCTGGGCTACTGCTCCTCGGAGATTTGCTAGTACACTTCACGCAGTCCAGAACCCTGGTGAATAAGCTGGATGATCACTGTAAGGAACTAAGGGAGATCAGAAGGAACATGATGATGTCAGATCGTGTGCGGAGCTGTTTCGAGCTCAAAGCACACAAGATACAAACTAAATATTTTAAAATCGTTACAACTCTACGTAGATGTCTACATTCCATTTTTTAACAAGTCGGACATGCTCCATCAATCTATATACGGCGGCTATCAGTGCCTATCTTCACCGCTTAGTGCGCTGGCTAGCAGCACTGAATGCGCAGTGTGAGGTACTTGAGTGTTGGGTCAATCTCCAACTAAAAAAGCTCAATCTCTGAGAGTGAACTCTAAGCAGACCGCGGAGTGAGGGAGCGTGCCCTCGCCTATCCGCTGGTTGATTCTCTATGTTGTTGGGCGTTTGAAAGATCCTAATCAGAAGTGATTAAGAGGGGAGCTCAAAAATAGGTTCCAGAAAAATTGAAGTATCAGCCACGGAAGGCAGCATGTACATGGGCCGAGTAATCGCTCAGGTAGGATAATGTGGATGCTACTTCGCAAAACATGTTTCATGCCTTCACCATTTTTCTTGGATTTTTAATAACAATAAATGTAAAGTGATTCACTAATTATGGGACAACCTAATAAATGTAACTGAAAAATGGAAGTGACAACTTCCTCATTTTGAATATATTTATTTGTTTCGTATTTTAGTTTCAAATATCAGATTGAATTGAAGCTGTACTTTATCCGAGCAACATGAGTTCATTATCTGCCTGTCAACCAGGGTGTAGCAATACGTAGCTGAACAATGCCGAGTGCTTGTTTTCATGATGTCCTTTAGGAAGGCACACTTAATGTCACTCTTATTCCGAGCGAAACGGGTACCCGACAGGAGGCCCGTCGCGCGCAAGAAGGCAGAGTCAGCGGACGAGTCGCGCGCGTACTGTAGGGATTTCGCGTCAAGTTAAATAGAATGTACCATTGCACGTCCTACATCGCACATCACGCGCTGCGACTCGTCCGCCGACTCTGCCTTCTTGCCGCGCGACGGGCCTCCTGGGGGTACCCGAGCGAAACTGATCTCATACCCGGCCACTTTCCTCAAAAAACGTGGCTCCTATCCAAAGGTGTCCTTTTACTTATTGCAATCGCTTGAGCATTGACGTAAAGAGCTGATGACTCTTGAAACGTTGGTGCTCTGGTGACCATGCTCTGGTGCAATAGAGGCGATTCACGATGTATTTGCGATGTACTTTAGGGGTAGAAGCGACCAAGACCACAATAACTTAAAATATAGTAATAAGTTATCTAAAAGTTACGCCCTACCTGAAATGTCCCATTGCGTAAAACATTGGCTGCTTGTAAAATTCGTCTGATGTCGCGTTCACAATGACTGGTGAATCGACAAAATTGTCAACCCAGTTTGGTCCACCCCGCTCATTGAGGCACATGTTCCAATCAGTCCAGCCAGTGACGAAATTATTTAAATCCTATAATGACGTTGCTACAGAGAAGAAATAAGCTAATTTAGAATTTTTTTCACAATCACAGTAGACTAATCTCGCCGAATATCGAAGTTCCAAGCCGCTCCTGGCGGCATTAAAGGCACGCTCCGGATTAGGCGCGCTCGCCTGTTCCATCCCCGGGTAGTAGGACAGGCGGACAAGTGTTGATGTCGCGCCCCTTTTGCCGCTTGAAAGTGCGCGACAAAGGCGCAAGAGCTCGTCCGACCCGCAACTCACACCTTCGTCCGCAAGCCCCACCCTCCGCTGTCGGTTGCCACGTGGCGCTGCTTGAAAAGCGCGGGCGCATTTGAGGCAGCGGTCCCATTGCGGCCAATGTCATTGGCACTGGAGCTAGGTTCGTGAAACTCGTCCAACACGCCCCTTCTCTATCCCAAGGTGGAATGCGGCTGAAATAGAAGAGGTTCTATTCGGGGCGTAATCGGGGTTTCCTTTGCTTTCCTTTTCCAGACCACCTCCCACCTCTAGCTTCATAACTGAACGCTTTTCCACACCTATTTTATCCCGAAGCTTGCCTTTAATGGTGTCCCCGACTACGGCCAGGATTCACCTTCC